CTGCAATTATTCCCGGAAGATAATGAAGCTTCTGAAACTGTAAGTGAAACAAGTAACGAACTCTCTGAGTGAAATCAAGTTAAGTTCAGCAGCAGCTTCTTCTGAGACGACATGAGATCGTGTTTCGTGCGGAGAACATGGAGAGTAATCAGAGCTGGGAAGTTCCAATGATGGAGATATTTTTCTATTGCTTACTCTTCCATGTTTTCTTCTCGTTCTTTTCGAAGTGACAGTGTTCCACCAGCTTGAAAACAAAAATGTTCTCATAGAAAAAAATGAGTGCCTTCGACAAAAGTACCTTCTAGTCGAATAAGATGAGGCCGTTGAGAATACATTGTCGAACAATTCTTGAGATTCGTTTAAGAATGACTTTACATTCTTAAGAATGGATGCAAAGGAGTCAGCTAAACTGAGTAATTAGTCGAGACATATGAAGGGGATTTTTGCTAGATTTACATTGAAGAAGCCGAGCTCGCGATCGCCTCGCCGACAAGATTCCGTTAGTCACCTTCTGACCACATTGTACTTTCACTGGCCTACCAGTAACATCTCGAACGAACGTTCGTTCGACAAATCCCTGAAAGTTCAAAGTGAGGGTGAAGTCATATGGAAGCGTTGCGTTGTCAAATACATCGTTGAGGAAATCATTGAAATAAATCAGCCTCCAAATACGGAAACATCTCACTCACTTCTTCTTCTCCATCCTTCCGAGAAATGAAGGAAATCATTTCATCCACAATCTGTTCGATCTCCTTAAATTCGATTCTGTTCTCCGAATATTCTCGCTGAATTTAAACGCATTTACTATTTCAAGGATAAACTTAAGATAGAATTATTAATTGAAAAACTGACTAAATTATCGCTTCCCTCTAACGTACTCGCAGCAACACTTGCTGATACACAATCACTTTGCTTTTCTCCGCATGACACCAAAGGTAGTCCCAAAACACTGCCACTGCTGCACAAACTAGTCCCAGCAGATGTGAATCCCTGAAAGAGACATTATGAAAAACTTATTGCAACACACTAGACAAAAAAACCTCAGTAGTTTCTAAGCGCTCCTTTAGCACATTTTCCATCAACGAGATCAAGTCATCTTTAGCAAGATCGTCGTTTGTCCTCGAAGGGTGAAAGCCCAATGACTCGCAAAAGTTCTTCACGTTCTTCTCACAATACTCAACACACCGCTATAAGTTCATAGTAATCGAAATGTGAAATCGAATTATGGTAATGATAACAACTCAACCTCCACATTCACGTATAAGAGAATTTGTTGAGTTCTTACCTCCGCTGCCTCTCGTATTTGTAAACTAGAACTGAACTTGGCTTCCTGTCGTTGGAGATGCTTGAGCTTTCGATATTTCTCATATGTAGACTCAAACTGAAACTAATCACATTTTGACAAAATTTTACAAATAATAGCAATAGATAATACATCATTAGCGCTAAATATTCACGCATTATAGCGTCAAGGCAAAGGCAAGTCTACACTAGAAAAAGGATCAATGCACTATGTGTCAAATATACCAGAGCAACACCAGAAAAAAAAAGGATAAAGCTTCAAAACATCTAAAAGACTTTTAAATGCGAAATTCGGAAACACCAACAAAAACATCAAGAAGACCCCTACACTACCTCCTCAGTGGTGTTGAAGTGGTTAACAAGAAGGTCGTTTTCCTTAGATGAACTCCAACTTTGAACAGAGTAAGGGTGAGCATGAGAGACAATGAAACGGTTTCGAGGAACCTAAACTTCC